CTTGCAGCAATTTTTCAAAATTATTTGACAGTTAGCTTTTTGCTTTTCGTGATAGTCACAAAATATTTAAAAAAAACATTTTACTCTTGAAAAAGCTACCTGAATAAAGACTCTGACTTGAAACTTCCGAATCACTGCTGATAACGAAAACACAAACATAAGCATACATCATAGTCGTAAACATTAACTTAAGTGTAAGGCTAAAGTATTCACAATGTCTAACATAAACGTAAGCAAAATAAGAGTTTCTATTGGCTGACAATCTAGTTGATATTGGTTGAATGTGAGAATAGATTTCGGGGTATCGACTGTGTCCATGGCCCATGGTACATGGCATTAGTTCGTCTATCGACCTCGATCCTATTTCGATACTCGATTTTGCGTTAACGTACTATGATTGGTTCATTTCTTGTGTCTTACATAGGCATAAGCACTGACGTCTGAAGCTTGCAAGCTTTTAAGTTAACGTGATATGCTTATGCGAACGCATTGTGAATGAGTTCGCTTATGGACGTACTCCTTTTATACTCGTACAACGCCATGCTTATGCTTATGTTTATGTTATTAACGGGGGCTGGAAGGAGGAGCGACGAGGGAATGCGGGGGCGGGACGAGTGGGAAGTCTGCGGTGTTGTGGGTGTTTGCGTGGGCGTCTGCGGCGGAAGGGCGGCCGCTGACACTCACCGCCCGCAGCACATTGCACATTCCTGCAACGCCCAAACGCCCCCACCCCGCCCCACCTCCCTCCAACGCGCCTCGCAGGCCTGTGACTGTTCGCGCCCTCCAACTACGCCGCTTGTGCCCTTCCTTCACTGACACCGGCAGAGTCAACGCCTTGCTTGCTGACTCCGTTCGCTAACTACGTGTAAACGGTAAAGTGAACTTAGTTCAACTAGAGTCGCTTGCTAGCTGTAAACTACTCCATTTTTTTAATTCGCTGTTAAACATTTTCATGTCTTTAGTTGCAGATTACAGTTCATAATCGTAACAGTGCCTCGACTTCCATGTATGTGATTGACTGCTAACTCCGTTGGCTAACTGCGTGTACTTGGACGGTAAAGTGAACTCAGTTCAACTCAAGCCGCTTGGTGGCTGTAAACTACTCAGTTTTTGAATGCCCTGTAAAACATTTCCACGCCTTTATTTGCAGATTACAATTCATAATCGTAACAGTACCTCGACCTTCAAGTATGAGATTGACTTTGGGTAGCTAACTCTGTTGGCTAACTGCGTGTACTTGGACAGTAAAGTGAACTCAGTTCAACTCGAGCCGTTTGCTGGCTGTAAACTACCTCCATTTTTTGATTCGCTTAACATTTCCACGTCTTCAGCTATTTCAGATTACGTTCATAATCGTAACAGTTTACGTCTTCAGCTCTCAAGTCTGCTGATTGAACTCTGGTGCCAACTCCGTATGGCGATTGGGTGTACTTGGACCGGCTGAGGTTAACTCAGTGTCACTGCAGCCCGTTTTCTGGCTTGCAACTATCAAAACTAATATCTAAATTACTTCCCGTAATATAGAAAAATTTGGTAGGAAGCTATATTCTGTAATATGTATCATTGATAACGTCGAGGAGGCTAAATATCATTTTTCCCATTTAGTGTACACAAAGAATTAATTTCTATTTATTTTTTTAAAATAATTGAATATCTACGAAATTTTCATCTAGAGCACTGATTTGTGTCCAATTAGTACCCTCGCAACACTAACTCCAAACACTGCCAGGAAGATTGTAGAAATGCGAGTTGCGTCTTCCGAATCTTAGCTAAGCCGTATGAACTCTTCAATAACTTCGAGCGGAGCGCATACAAACTGTATACTCGTAAATGAAAATCGGGGAGACATATCCGATGGAATCAAGAACAGTGGATGCAGTGACAAGCCAGAATTCCGCGACTCAGATGGTTGTTTGATTGTTACTGATTCCGGCGCGTCAACGTGCTAAGTCATTAGTCCCCGATGCTGTAGTGTTAATTTTTTCTTCGCGAAATGGCTGTTGATTCATCCCCTCCTGATGTCGAGATTCCTGCGCCAACCTCCGTTGAGCTACTGGATTTTCCCCAACCAGATTCTCCCATCTCACGTGCACCGCCACAGCTGGGACAAGCTCTAGAGCTCTCGCGGTCTCCGGTATATGCAGGTAATGTAGCATGCAGTAAATTGTGTTGCAAATAAGCGGATTAGGATAGGAAGAGGAAGGACATTACGCCAGCGGTTGCCCTGGCCTCGTTTGTCAGCGGTACTGCTGCCTGCAATTCACCTGGTGTTGAATCGTAGAAATCACCAGAAAACATACCGTCAGAGCAGCCTACTTAGAATCTCTCCTGACCAGCGACTAATTAAATCTAGCCAGTTGACGGCAAATTCTGCCACTGTGGATCGAACTTCACCTCCCGGTTGTGCAGTACATCAGCAGACAGCCCTGAGGACCTCTCCATCGCTCAGCAGCACTGGTTGTGCCACGCTGCGCCCGAAGTTGCGTTGTGTAGCTGCAGCTGCGCGTAATAAAGACCGCGCTGGCGGCGGCCTACTTACCTGAGTCTCCACCGCGCCCGCTTTAAATACGCTCTCCCCGCCCCCCTCTGTTCCGCCCCGCCCCTCCCTCCTCCCCCTCTCCCTCGGCCCGCGCGCTCCGCCCAATAGCTCCGCTCGACCGAGGGTGACCCCACGCGACCAGTGTTGACCCACGCGGCTCCCGTGTTGTTTTGTTTCGTTTTGTTTTGTTTTGATTCGTTTCGTTCACTCAGCTGGATGGGATGTTTTTTCGAAGCCTTGGTAACGGTGCTCTTCTTAGGTTTGGCCACTTTTTTTTCTGATTGACTACATAATCTGTTTTTATCCTTTCTTCCAACGTCCAGTATTGCTGCTGTCTGTGCAGCCGTGAGGGAGGTCGTAGGGTTAGAGTTCGGACAGTCGTTGATTTTCGTTAGTAGCTAAAGAGCTAGTTCAAATTCACCCGCTGTCAGGGGGCGTATTTTAGCGGCCGGCTACTCTGGCCGGTAGTTTTGTAAATTCTGCGATCAATATCAGAAAAACCTATCTGAAAAATGTCCGGAACAGTTTGTAAAGAACGTGCTGTTATCACGCTTCCCCTTTCTTTTTTTATCATCTTCCCTGCTTTCTTATCGTTACATTCACGTACACCATACTGCCACACAAGCTTATTCAGGCCCGCGCGCGTTCTTTCCTTCCTCTTCCTTGCCCTATCCTCACCCCTTACACACACTTACAGTAACATGTACTACACTACCACACATGCTGGGAGACCGATCGGAAGATTAGAACTTGTCCCAGAAGGGGCGGTGAGGTTTTTTCTTTCTACATGAATTCAAGTACAGTCTGCGTATCTCTCAACTTCGACCTACGGTGTGACGCGAATAGGCTCGACCAACGGAGTGATAATACACGATTTTTTACTCTACTGTATTTTGCGAGTTTAACATAGACTTGGGAATACAGAAGACCCATAAATATTATATGTTGTGCAACTTCTATTTTTCCTATTTTTTCTGTTCTAATTTCATCCTTTTCTACGATTTGTTGCGAGTCATATATTGTTTTACATTTTTTTACATTTTTCTCGTTATTATATGTTGTTTTTTATGCATATCTGTGAAAATTTCTTTACATATATTTTATTTATTTCGTTTTCATCTTTGTATCTGTATATTTTTACATCAATTCATTTTGAAATTTTATGATTCGCCCAATACGAACGAAACTTTTATTTCTTTGAGTGCAACACGGTTATCAATATAATGTACTTGTATGCCATCCATTTCTATACGAAGAAAATATTAGAATTATGAAATAAAGTTTAGAACGCGAGATCTGTTGTGTTGTATTTTGTATTATCAGTAACATCGTTGCTTTGTACTTTTCGTCTTTTAATTTTAATTTACAAGTTTCTCGCTTTAATAAAGTAACTACATAATGCTGTTCAAAGATTCTATGATGCTCCTCTTTTTTACCTTTGTGTGTTTCATTATTTTTTGGTTTGTGAGATAGCTTTTAATACGGTATCTTTGAACGTTTACCGCAGCAAAGCTCAAAGCACATAATTAATGATCATTCACAATCTAATGAGTATGCCAATAACCAGCTGTACAACATTTTAGAACTCTTCTATAATTGAAATGTTTATATTATGTATGTACACAAAAATAATTTTGGCACTTTCGTTGCTCTCTCATCAAAACTGTTTACTGGACCGCAATTGAATTCGCTCTTTAGCTTCGATACTGATTCATAAAAGCGAGTGCATAGCCACTCCATTTCACAAGATGGCCACGCGCTGCCCAGTCGCGGTAGTTCTTTTGGGGCTCGTCAGAGGCGCTGCTCCTAAGCACTCATTACGAACGCGCTCCGGCCGCTTTTTGTTTTCCTTGCAGCGACGTAGTGCCTGGCCTAAAATCAATTACCCCATTTGGCGCTGAACGTACGCAACTTTTAATTGAGTAAGCGTTTCCCGGGCGTACGGACTAGGAGCGCGGGCACGGGGGCGCGACTGTAACGAGCACATGTTGAGAGGCAGGGCGGAGAAAAAAAAGAGTTTTATTAAATTTCCCCCGTAAGTGCAAATTGCACAGATCAAAAACAGACCGCAACATTTGCGGCGTAATTAGCCCTTGAGAGGGCAGCTGGCCATTGGGCAGAAATGAAATTACAGTTCGGAGGAGATCTAATTTAGAGGCCTTGTGCGTTAAGTACTCCGCACGCGAATGAACGGCGGAGGTGGGTGCAGTGGAATTGGGAGGTAGTGGGATTGTAGGAAAGGAAATAGGAGGGTGTATTCTCGCAAAGGTTATTTGGTGGAGGATGGTTGCGAGCAATTGAATTGGGGAGCGGTGACCAAAAGTTGTGAAATCACGTGTACCATATATACAGTTATTTCGGCTTCTGTTTTTATTTGAAACTTCTATCGTCGGTTTTCTTATTGTGATTACCATTGAATGTGATTACCATTGAATGTGATAATAATTAAGAGACACAAAACATGGATCTAGTTGTTGCCGTACGGTCTGTGAAAACTAGTTGCACATGTGAAACCAATAAGATCTCAATGCCAGTAACTCAAATGTTGTCCACTGCAAGTGAGATTACGTATTGACAGAGAAAATGTATAGGATCAGTTTCAGTTGTTCAACTTATCCTAGATAAGCATTTGTCTGCGCTGCAACACGCACTATTCCGTTCTACTTGTGTCCATCTCCTCGTGGATCTGGCGTCCGTGGTGCGATAAGCACTGCGGTTGTCCACGAGAACGCGGGGGAGGATGAGCCTGTGGTTGTGACGGGCGAAGGCGGCCATTGTGGCCCCGACAGTCTACGATGTGGGCACTGGCGGAGGAGTAGAGGGCTGCGGTGGCCCGGCAGATTCCGGTCGCCGTCGTGGGGCTTTGGAGGTGAGGAGTGGGCGGACCTCCGGCTGTAGCGGTGGCGATAGCGGGAGCGATGGTGGGGGCGGGGACGAGAGTGGAGACGGC